TAAGCAAGACACTTAAGCATATTCTAATTTTAAGTCCGATTGGCTTCAGTAGGATTATTCGCTTCAAGTTAAGCAAGTTCTTAAATGTTTTAGTGAATCAAAGCCTTATCTCAGGAATTTAAATCAGTTGTAAAGACCATGCAGATCTCTTTGCTGAAAGTTATTTTGGGAGTGTATTGAGTTTCCTGCCTACAGAAAATTCTCCATTATATCTACCTCAGTTGCAGACAAGCTCTACTGCTAGATATTCATTTTAAAGAAATTTTGTACACTTCTGCAGGGTTTGGTTTATAAATCATTAGCTTTTTCTATTTGGAGAAAAAGGTAGCATTTTAATGCAGTTGTCTTTAATAGAGGAAGGAGAACAGTGAACACAAAGAATGGTTTCAAAAATGTTTGTTTTCCACAAAGTTTTACCAGTTGTTAAAATATGCTGAGAAGTTTATATTCATGTATACAGGACCGGCCTTTGGCTGTCTGGGCCCCTGCCCAGGGCAGCCCACCAAAGAGGGCCAGGGCCGGATTAACCTTTTGTGGGCCCAGCATCAAACATATTTGTGGGCCCCCGTGGGGGCAATGGAGCATGGTGTGGGGACTTCAGTCCCCAGAGTGAGGCGCCAGTCGGGGCAATGGGGCGTGGCAGGGGCAGCCCCGCTCTGCCCAGCCCAGTGCGAGGGCACTATTTACAAACCGGCAGTAACCAGATGCACAGCGCCCTGCCTGGCCCTGTGCTGCCAGCATGCCCCTTCCCCTTGGGGCCGGGCCCATGCCGTGCCACACAGCCCCCTTTCCCCCCGCCCAATAGACCACAGGCACCGCCTCCGTGCATGCTCCGGGGCTGGAACACCCACAGAAAAAAAATAGTGTGTGCTGAGCACCCACCGGCAGCCCCGCCAATTAGCTCCTCCCCCTTGCCCACAGCGCCTCCCGTGCACCACTGTTATGCTGTTCAGCAGTGGGCAGAAGGTGCTGGGGTGAGGGGAAGGAGCAGGGGCAGAAAGAGGCAGAGTGAAGGCAGGGGGGCACTGTGGAGAGGGTGTGGGATGGGGGTGGAGCGGGGGCAGGAAGAGGTGGGGTGGGTATGGGGCCTTGGGGGAAAAAGGGTGGAGTAGGGGGGCGGGGCCTGGGGCAGAACAGGGATCAAGCACACTCAGGGAAATCAGAAAGTCAGCACCTCTGCAACAGCCGCCCACACCCAACCCCTATGGTCAGAGGCCTCCCTTCCCCTCTCCCCGCTGGACCTGCTATGCCCTGCGCCTCCCCCAGACTCCCCCCCACAAATGTACAGCACCCTACACAACACCACTCCTGCCCAGCACCTCCCTACCCACAGCTCCACCACAACTGCCCAGCACCCCACACAGAACCCCACTCCCTAGTGCCCCAACACACACAGCTCTTCCCTGCCCCCTCACAGCCCAGCACCCCCCCAGGCCACACAGAGACCCACTCCCCCATGCCTTGCCTCCCAGCCACACTCACCCATCCTGCTGGGAGGTGACTATATCTGCCAGGCTGAGCCAGCAGCACAACCAGGGGTGGTCATCGCTCCGGCCCCTCGGGAGTAGCGCGATTGGGCTCCACTTGCCTGGAGGGGCCCAGCCAAGCCCCCCCACACTGTCTCCCCCCAACTGGCCAAGACTGGCCAGGCTTCTGCACCAGTCCCAGGCAGCTCAGCTCTGGGGAGGCAGGCGGGGCCCCACAGGGGGTGGGAAGCAGAGACTGCCTGGAACCGGAGGTGCATGGGGGTCCGGCCAGGGGGCAGAGAGGAACCCTCGACCAAGGGGCAGAGAGGAGCCCTCGGATGCGGGCAGAGAGGAGGAAGTGGTAGTGGTGGGGGAGCCAGCGGGCTGGCGGGGTCTTAGGGAACAGTACAAGCAGAGCAGGCCGGGCTTTTTGCTCTTCTGAGCATGGGTCCGGCTCCATGGCACCACTGACGCCAATGTAAACCCAGAACTGAAGAGGGCGCTGTGCGCAGGGTTTGGATTCCCACCCGACCTGCCAGAGCCAGCTGGGCAGACAAGCAGCAGCGCTGGAGAGGGGGCTGGGAGGAACACCCGAGCTGCAGGGGGCAGTTGGACAACCAGCCCTCTGAGCCAGATGACTCCTCCGGAGCAGGGATGCCCCTCCTTCCCTCTGCTCCACCTGTGCAGCTGCTGCTGTCCCTGCCCCAAATTTCCTGGTGCCCTACACAGCTGCGTACTTTGCATATGGGTAAGGATGGCCCTGCTCTGAAGGAGGCCACTCCGCCTCGCTACACCATCTAGTAACTGATAGCCAATGGACACATTTAGCAGGGTAAGTGTCAGCAAAGAGTCTAGGGCCCTGGCCCATTGCGGCAGAGCAGGGCAATTAGTCTTTGTCATGAACATACAGCTAAGGGTAGCATAAAATCCCTCCTTTACCTGTAAAGGGTTAAGAAGCTCAAATAACCTGGTTGGCACTTGACAAAAAGGACCAATAAGGGGAGAAGATACTTTCAAATCTGTGGGGGAAGGTTTTTGTTTTATGATCTCTTTGTTGTTCTCTCTGGGACAGAGAGGGACCAGGGCAGGAAAAATACATCTCCTAAAGCCATATCTGAAATAAGCATCTAAGATAAGTAATAGCAAGGAAATGTAAGTAATAGCAAGGAAATGTGTTAGGTTATCTTTTGTTTTAGCTTGTGAATTTTCCCTATGCTAAGAGAGAGGTTTATTCCTGTTTTTTGTAACTTTAAAGTTTTGCCTAGAGGGGAATCCTCTGTGTTTTAACTTTTACTACCCTGTAAAATTATCTTCCATCCTGATTTTACAGAGGTGCTTCTTTTACTTTTTCTTTATAATAAAGTTCTGTGCTCACATTGTTTACCTATTGGTTGGTATATTATTCTCCAGCCTCCCCAGGAAAAGGATTGAAGGGACTTGGGGGGATATTTTGGGGAAACAGGAACTCCAAGTGGTCCTTTTCCTGAATCTTTGTCTAACTCACTTGGTGGTGGCAGCATACCGTCCAAGGACAAGGAAGAATTTGTGCCTTGGGGAAGTTTTTAACCTAAGCTGGTAGAAATAAGCTTAGGGGGTCTTTCATGCGGGTCCCCACATCTGTACCCTAGAGTTCAGAGTGGGGAGGGAACCCTGACAGTCTTCAACCCAGCTCCTGGGCTGGAGCAGACAGCAAACAGTCAGGCTCAAGCCCTCTGGATATGACAGTGCAGTAGCGATCTCTGGCCCAGCTCCGTGGCTGGGGCAGATATCAAGCAAATGCAGGGCATCCAGCCTAAGGTGGGTAGGCTGCCACCTTAGGGGTGGGGTTGGCAGCAGGAGGTAGGGGTCCACCCTACTCCACCAGATCCCAGCCCAGGACCTTAACAGTGGTGCAGAATCCCACCACTGAGTCAGCGGGGATCCTACCGAAACACACAAACAGTGGTTTCAGCTTTCAGAGTAGCAGCCGTGTTAGTCTGTATCCGCAAAAAGAACAGGAGTACTTGTGGAACCTTAGAGACTAACAAATTTATTAGAGCATAAGCTTTCGTGGGCTACATCCGAAGAAGTGGGTTGTAGCCCACGAAAGCTTATGCTCTAATAAATTTGTTAGTCTCTAAGGTGCCACAAGTACTCCTGTTCTTTTAGTGGTTTCAGCAACACAACAAGATTAATGTCTGGTTTCCCTGGGCTACTTCCTACCCCTGTCTGTAGGGCTCTGTTGCTCGTGGGTTCTCAGACTCCTCGGGGTGCCTGGCAGCCGGCAGTCCCAGCAGCTCCTTGGGGTACTTAGCAGATGGCAGTTCCTTCCCTCAGGGTCCTCCTCCAGGGGCGGGGTCGGTACAGCTCAGTCTCTGGTGCAGGGGCCAGCAGCAAGGCAGAGGTGGCAAGCTCCTGCTTTGGCTCAACTGAGCTGGAAGCCCCTCCTCTTATACTTCCTGTTCCACACCTTCACTTCTGGCATGAGGGACAGGCCCGGCCTGGCTCTGCCCACCAGAGAGCGGAGAATGGTTCCTCCCTGTCAGTCTCAGAGGGAGGCCACTCCGTCTTGCTACAGGCACTGAAACACCCATCTACCTTTGAACCAATTATCTGGTTCATGCATTTAGAAATTAATCCACAGAGAGTAATGTAAGGCCTCTCCTAGTGCAGAAGTTCCCTCCTCTGTTAGAAGGTATAAGATTTACTAACAAAGCTCACAAAATTAAAACTACTGAGAGGTGGTTTTATATGTGGCCTTTAGCCCTTAGCACCTCTTTGTGGCAAGATGGGAAGCTACACCAGCTGACACCATCCCCCTTATGCCATCACACTCAAGTGTTCGTCTTCCAGCCCTCTGCATAAGTTCTTAATAGTCTCTGTCCCCTTCAAGATAATGGGGAGTTGGAAGTTCCATGGTTCTAGTGGTGGCTAAACAGCCATAGGTCTTCTGGGTTTAGAGCGTTCTTCTTCAAAGTCCTTCTTCAAAGTCCACTTCATTGGGTTCTAGCTCAGGCTCTCTGTTTCGAACAGCCACAACCAATCCTTCTCTGTCCCTGGCCACTCCTTGAGCTACGTCTCCTCCTTTGTAGGCTTCCCAAGCCTCTCACTCTTCTTCTCCCTCTTTGGAGTGTTGCTTCTCAGGCATTTTCTCACCAGTCTGTTGGAGGGATCCTCTTTCTGGAAACTGCCTTTCTCCTCAGGAGTTCCTCCTTTGAGGTCCTTAACCTTTTATCATGCCTAGGTGCTTCCCTGTCTAATTAACTACATCCAGTCAGTTAACTACTCCCAGGTGAACCTGAGCTACCCCATTCTCCCTGGTGGAACCTGTTATAGGTAGGCTGGTCCTTTGACCAGTTTAGAGGGCCAACCAACTCTGCCAGACATCATTAACCAGAGTTCATGGGTCTTTAGATGCCTGAATTAACAGAGTAATGAATCATTTCCCTGATTCCACACACTAAACTACTGATGTATATGGATTCCAATTTATTTTTAGAGGAATAAATATTATTAATACTGTCTTCATTTTAAAATGTTTTTAAAATAGCTTACCTTGGTACATAGTTGCATACAAAATGTGCCGCATCTCTTATTCCCGCAGCTATACGACAAAAAACAACAGCACAGCCCACCTTATGAGAATTATCCCAAACAACCTAGAAGAAATAAGATTTTTTTCTTTTACGAAATAAAGCTTAAACTATGCTCACTGTGAACTATTCTAATAGGCAGGAGAATCTCAGTTCTCATGAGAGTTCTTCGATTTATTTGCTTTGTACAGCCACCAGTTACAGTACCCAGAAAAATAAAAATTACTTACCAGTTACTGGATTTCTTCAGGATGAGCTTCTGCACATTTGCACTTGTCGGATCAAGGAATGTGTACCAGAAGGTTCCAGAATCTTTTACGCAGCAGTGTCAGTTGGTCACTCACTTTCTGTTTCCCCCTCCCCTTATGTAGAGTTCCCACAGTAAAAAGGGGGAAGTGGTCCCAACTACTCCTCAATTCCTTCCACTAATTTTAGGAATTCTTAATCCAAGACTCCAGGAAAGTGGATGAGATGTGTAAATGTACACAAGCTGATCTTAAAAACTCGTTACTGGTAAATAACCATTTCTTCTTCAAATGACCTTTGCACATTCCCACTTATGGGAGTTTAGCGAGTAGTACAACCACTGGGAATGCAAGTTGAGAAGTTCTAGGTGACAAAGACAGCAAAACTGCCAAAACAAGCATCAGCTCTGGATCCCAGGTCAAGAGTATAATAGAAGTGACAGCATCTCTCGCTCTCCTAAATGGAGCCTCAGCTGCCAAAAAGAGCTACCTGATGCATGTATAGAATTTTGCTTAACATCCTTGTACATTTTTATGATGACGACAATGTGAGGGAATGCTATGGAACCTTCTTGAGATCTAGTTGAGTATACTTTGCTATCTCCAAGTAGTTGAACATATGCTAGGTCATAAGAATTGTGATTCATAGTCTGAGTCACCTGGCCAGTCTTTGAGCTGTGATGGACTGATCCCTGATTTCATCCCCCTAATAGTGTAGGGAATTTGTGGCTAGGTTTGTTGTGTAGGGGAATGCCAGGATTGGATGAGGGGTCCCAGGTCCCAACCACACATCTCTGCACAAACACCAACCCTCCCTCTGAGCGGGTCAGAGTTAACCACATTTAACAATAGGACAGCCCTTTTACTTAACCCAGGCAAAGCCAAGAACAGGCCCAGGTCAGTATCTGTAGCAGGGGCTACACAGACTCCTTTGCCCCGATACAGTATACAGCACACTGACACACATCCCGCCAGCTAGACACATACAGACACATACTGACTGTCTGCTCTGCACCAATAAAAATCTCCCATTGCCCCCCAACCTGTTTGTGCACTTTGATGCTGGCATGCATTGTGAGGGTGGGTCTTGCTGCGTGGTCTCAGCAGTCCTGTTGGCTTCAAGCTGTAAGAGTCCTATTTTGCAAGCCCCAGTGCAGCAGCTGGCTGTACTCCAAGCAGCTCCTAGTTCAGGCTCTGCACTCCTGCACTCTGGTGGTGTCTCCGTCTCTGCCCCAGCTCAGAGTTGCTGCTTATGTTCTTTCTTTCTTTCTTTCTAAATCTTCCCAGGCTTGTTCCCTGTCCTGCTTCTCCCCAGCCATCGCCTCACTGTCTCAAACCCTCCCAGGTGGTCTGTAGTTAATTCTGTGGCCTTGTTTTGGAATGGCATTCCCTCCAGCCAATCAGGTCTGTGCAGAGTAGTGGAGAGGAGGGAAGGGGGAGAGAGGAAGGGAAAGGGAGAAGTGGCTCTATCCAGTCCCCCAGGTTGGTTCCAGATGGATAACTTAAGGACCTTTGGACATTCAAGTTATGGTGCCGACCACCCTGGATGTTAATGTAACTTGATGAAATAGAGAGGCTAGTAACCTGAAAGCAACTGAAATCAGACACCTTTTTAGATAGCATTTAGGGTGATGATGCAAATAAGACCACATTTTCCATATAGAATATGGCATATGGAAAGCTATCCACCTTTTGCTTTTGGATCAAAGTAAAGTATTATTTGTGTGTGTGAAGTTCCAAGGACTAGAAGAACCTGCACACTTTCTTGAGGGCCAAAGTCTGGATATAGATTTGGATGTCCTGACAGCTGAGAAAAAATAGTTATGTCAGTCTGGCAATTGGTGAAAACTCTTGGTGCCGTAGAAAGGCCAAAGTGTAGGATACAGCTTTATTGATAGAGGTCTCCTACTACGCAAACCAGAGTACATTCACTGGAACAGACAGATTAAGATAAAAATAGATGTTTTTTGAGGGTGTCTCATCACATGTGCTGCTTTTAGCTCAATGTGATTGATGGGCAGACACCATAGGCAGAAGAAATATTTCTGATTGGAAATAATCAAGAGGTCTATCTCTGGCATCCACAGAAAAGTGACATTGTCTTGAATCAGCTCCCTGAGAGATGACATGACAGGGTAATGCATCCCGAGATGAGGAAGTCATATAGCCAACTCTGCTTTATAGCAGGCAATTCTCACCTGCAGAGGGGTGTGCGGGGGCAAGGAATATACCCTACAGACCAATAAGCCTGGGTAACTTGTCTTTACTCCTAAGTGTGAATCCAAAAGTTCTAGCCTATTGTTTTTTCCCCTTGGCCAATGTCACTACCTAAGTTCAAGTGAGTATAAAAATATTCATCACTTCTCACGGTCCAGAAACAGAATATCTGCCACCTCCAAGATCAGGGGATTCTAAGCTGGGGTACAGAGACCCTCTCAAATGTGAAGCTTGTTTACTCCTCACATCCAAAGAAGGGCTCAGTGAAGACCCAGGATGAAAGTTCTTAGGAGTCTGTAGCACCAAGGCAGGGCTCAGCAACACACGAAAAAACAGCACTGATTGTAGTAGCCAGTACCAGATATTAGGTATTCTGTTCTATTCTATATATTTTCTTGTATCAACCTTATCACTGTAGTGTTTGAACATCTTCCAGTAATGCATCAAGCAACATGGCTAACATCTGTCACATGTACTACATTTCCTCTCTTGTCCTCTCTTCAGGGGGGAAACGGTTTGTGGAGTGGTCAATCCCTTGGAGTTCAAGGATGATTGTCTTCCATAAAATGATAGCTACTTATTACTGGTGGATCTTCAGATGGCTAATGAGACCAATCCGGGATCCATAGATGGGGCAGACATTTCCCAACGGAAGAGGTAGATCTGGATTGTTGAGTTAGGCTGTGGTGCATTCTTTCCTCCTTTCCCATTTCTCCATTTCCTGTTATCTAAGTTGGATCTCAAAATACTGGGATCCTTGCCAAAAGGTCCTTTTCCATTTTGGTCAGTTGAGGGCTTGGGTTTCCCATGAGTTTATGTCAATATTGAACTTCTTCATGTTAACTTTGAGGGTGTCTTTGAAGTGCTTTTTTTGCCCACCCCTCATCTGTTGGCCATGACTCCGTTGTGAGAATCTGCTTAGGGAGTAGATTCTCTGGCATTCAAAGAATGTGACCACCTCTACAGAGTTGGTGGAAGATGATCACAGCTTTAATGCTGGAGGTTTTGGCTTGGGACAAAAAACTGATGTTGGTGCATTGGTCATCCCACTTGATTCAGAAGATCTTGCGGATGCATTGTTGATGGTATTGTCCAAGAACCTTGAGGTGTCTACTGTACGGTGCCAAAACCTTGATCATGTACAAAAGAGCACGGATAACAATGGCCTGGTACATGAGAAGCTTGGTTTGATTCTTGAGGTCACAATTTTCAAAGACTCATTTTCTCAAGAGTCCGAAAACTGCATTGGCGCATTGAAGGCGGTGTCGAATTTTCTCGTCAATGTCAGCTTTCTGTGACAGATAGCTGCCGAGGTAAAAGGGTTCCATGTTCTCCAGGGTCTCCTTATTGATCTGAATTATGGGAGCAGGATCCTTGTGATTCGGAGCCTGTTGGCGGAGTACTTACATTTTCTTGGTGTCGAGTGTGACGCCAAGTTGGTTGTAGGCTTCAGAGGAAATGTCAAATATTTTTTGAAGATCTTCTTCTTACTGAGCACATAGGGCACAGTCGTCCGTATATTGGAGTTCAATGAATGACTCATGACCCTCCACCTTAAACTTGCCAAGAACCAGCATGCAACACTCAACAGTGCATACGATCCAACCTTGATGCTAACGATGAAACCAAAAAAGAATTCTACACCAACCTTGACCAAATTCTCTCCACCATCTGCAAAGAGGACAAGCTCATACTCTTTGGTGATTTTAACACAAAAGTTGGATGTGACTCAGACCTTTGGAATGGCACAATTGGAAATAAAGGAGTGGGCAAGACCAATTCCAACAGAATTCTTCTCCTGACCATATGCACAGAACATGACCTAATTTTCACAAACACCATATTCTGCCAAAGTAACAAGTACAAGATATTGTGGGAACACCCGCGATCTAAGCATTGGCATCTGATTGACTATGGCATTGTCTGTGCTTGTAACTGTGACGACTTTACATCAAGAAAGTGCTGACTTGTGCCAACAATTGTTGTACAGACCATCACTTTATCCGCTCCATTATTTCCATCAAACTCGCATTGAAACAAAAAATGCGGAAGAAATCAGCCAGACAGAAGATCAATGTCAAGAGTCCCAAGGACCCAATTATACATGACCTTTTTCCAGCAGTGCCTCACCAAGAAACTGATGAATATCAAAACCGAGATGGAGAACCCCAAAGATCACTGGAAAGTGCTCAAATTGGCTGTCCATGTTGTGTGTGAGGGAACACTGGACTTCTCAAACAGGAAGCACAAAGGCCAGTTTGACAAGAACAATTAGGAAATCCAAGACCTGATCAAATATAAGTACAAGGCCATCTGTGCTTGGCAGAATTACATCAATTCCAACCAGAAGCAATACGTCCACCATCAACTGAAAGCTGAGGTTTAAAGGAAGTGAAGAACAGGTGGTGGGAGAACAATGCGAAGGAGATCCAACAACTCACCAACACCCATGACATGAGTGGATTCTTCAATGCCAACAAAGCCCTCTACAGACCCTAACCCCCTCTCAGATCCAGGGATGGAGCCAACCTCCTTAGGACAATGAATCAATCAGTGCATGATGGAAGGAATACTTCGAAGACCTCCTGAATCATGACTCCAATGCTGACGAAAGCATCATTGACTTAATCCCTTAATATCCTATCAAGGATGACCTCAGAACCCCACCAATATTCGTTGAGGTAAAAAAAAGCCATCAAACAGATGAAGAACAATAAGGCATCTGGACCTGATGGAAGAAGGAGCAGAAAAATGGCTCACCAGCTTTACATTTTAATCCTCAAGATTTGGAATTCAGAACAAATCCCAGCTGATTTTAGGAATGTTATGATAATGACCATCTTCAAGAAAGGAGATAAATCAGATTGTGCAAACTATCCAGGAATCGCCCCGTTGTTCATTTCCGGAAAGATTTTTGCCAGAATTCTTTTCAACCAGCTGCTCCCCTTAGCAGAGGAAATCCTCCCAAGATCATAATGTGGATTCAGACCACACTGAGGTACCACTGACATGATCTTCACTGCCTGCCAACTTCAGGAAAAGTGCCGTGAGCAACATCAACCTCTGTACATGGTTTTCATCAACTTCAAGAAAGCATTTGACTCCATCAATCATGAGGCTATGTAGAGAATTCTCCTTAAATTTGGATGCCCACCAAAATTTGTTGCCATCCTCCAACTCCTCCATGACAACATGTCTGTGATGGTCGTCAACAATGGATACAAAACGGACCCCTTCCTAGTCAAGACAGGAGTAAAACAAGACTATGTCATCGCTCCAACCCCTCTTTCTTCCTTGCTGTCATCCTCCTTGTCATCGCTGACAAGCTCCCTTCTGTACTTCACATCTAATACAGAATGGACGGCAAGCTCGTCAACCTCAATCTCCGCCGATCCAAGACAAAGATTATCACTAAATCAGTCACTAAACTCCAGTATTGTGGAGCGGAGTTTTTTGGTAAGTGTGTTTTTTCTTTTAAATAAATATGTACATACTGATATATATATATATATATATATATATATATGCAAGGTTAAAGAAATGCACCTTGATTCCTTGACCAGCTTCTGAGAAAGCTCTGTGTCCTTGTGATGAGGCTTACAGCCCCCACACTAAGGTTAAAAGAAGTGGTGGAGCAGTATTGGACTAAGAAGGCCCTGCCCCCAGCAGCTGCCAGGTATGCTTCCTGTGGAGGACCTGCTTAAAAGGAAGCTCTGGCAGTCAAGTGCAGGGGGAGAGTGGATGAGAGACTGGCTGCAAGAAGACAGACGCTGTAGCAGCTGAGACAGAGTGAACTACGGGGGAAAGACCACGATTGTGAGTAAGATTTGACTGGGATACGGGGGACCTGACCCCTTTTCCCCCTGCTGTTCTAGGATAAAACCCAAGTTGTGGTCTGACCCAGGAGAGTTAGGATGAAAGTCAGATCACTGAGAAACCCCAACACAGACCTCCAAGTCCATCCAGATATGGAGCCATGATACTGAGCAGCTCTTTGCAAAGCTTGAACATAAGCACCAGACTCTGTCAACCCACTCAGGTCCACAGATTTCAGTACCATTTGTGGTACATACAGTCAATGGAACCAAGGCCTCTTGTAACGACCAGAGCGTGGGTGGTCTGATCTAGTGGTCAGAGCAGGAGTTGGGAGTCAGGAGTCAGGCCAGGTCAGATACCAGAAGGACAGAGTTCAAGGCAAGCCAAAGGGCAAAACTGAGAGCCAGGTGTCAGGAGGCAGGCAGGATCAGGTTACCAGGAGATCAGTGGCAAGTAGCAAGAACAGGTATTGCAGTGGAAGCAGTCCTAAGCAGGGAGATTCTAGTTGCAAGGACAACTTCCTGTTCCTGAGCTGGATTTATATAGAAGCTGTGAACCAATCAGGTCCCTCAGCGTTCTGCCAATTAGATTCCAGGACTGTAAACCTCTGTTGGGGTTCAGCTTCAATTCTGGAAACTGTTAGTAGGTCACTGGACGGCAGGCTGGAACGTACAAGCTCCTAAGAGCCCGGTGGTCTCTGATGACATCACCACCTCCCCAAGTGACACTCTCAGGGTGATGTGAAACCAGGCTTTTCAGGATGATTCCTGTGGAACACCCACACAGGTGTGGTAGCATGTACATTTTCTACAGACTCTGAAGTGTGCTCCTCAGGACCGCACCCCTCCCAGTCAACAAGATACCAGAGTCTGACATGTTTACGTTTAGAGTCCAGGATCTCATTAAATAAATAATTCTTGTGGCCCTGTACCTGTACTGATGGATGAGGCGGCTGGGTCCTGTGAGGGAAAGGGTTTCTGTGTAGGGTTTCAAAAGTGATATGTGAATCACCAGATTAATCTTCAGAGAGCAGGGCACCTGGAGTTCAAAAGTGAATGGATTAACCTGTTGCAGGATCTTAAAAGGACAATGGAACCAAAGTAAGCACTGAGGATATTGAGTGTGATCTGGCAATTAGATGATCTGGCACCCTTGGCAATTAGAAGAAACAGGCAGTTGGGACTAACTCCCCTCAGAACTCTACATGAGGGAAGGGAAGTGGCCCCCACTGACACTTCTCTGTAAAAGATTCTGGAAGCTCACAATAGAGCTGCCTTGGTCCCATAAGTGCAGAAGTCACTTGATGAACTGTCAGTCACTCTGGTGTCTGTTAATAGGTTTCACTGCATGATCAACATATAAGCATAACTCACAATCTGGTGTTTCATAATTAAAATAAAGGATGAAGTCTTTTTTTAAATATCCACTTCTATTGGCTGTTAGCTAACAATTTGAGCCTGACAAAATTAACTACTGCTTCAGAGAGGTAAAATGTGACTACATTTGCAATACTGGAACACAATTCTGTTTCAAAGTTCATGTGGATTCACAATCATTTAAAATTTTAATAAAGCTTATTTACCTTTTCGATACAAATAAAACAGAGTTATATTTCTGTCAAATAACAAGTTATCTCTTTTCTTACCCCCTGTGATGGGGCGTCTGCCCCACACGGGCCTGTAAGGAGTTAATAGAGCCCTAGGGAGGCTGAGAGAAAAGCAGCCAATAGGAGAGGGGCTGCGAGGAGCAGCCAATCAGGGCTTGGCAGGCACATATAAGAAGACTGCAGGGCAGAGCGGATTCAGTAGCTGCCTGGAGCTCAAGGAGGGAAAATCAGGCTCCTAGTCAGGCAGAAAGAAGCTAGCACCCTAGACAAAGCAGTGCTGCTAGCAGGGACCAGGAGAGCTAGAGAGAGCTTCTGGCTGGCAGCTGGGCTTTGCAGGCTGAGGCCCTGAGGCAAGGGCAAAGAGGGTGCTGGGGCCACAGGAAAATGGTCTAGGTAAAGGTACTGATGAGTTGGAGGGGATGCAGCACGTGGCTGCCATCTAAAGGGTCCCTGTGCCGGGACACGGAGTAATGGGTGGGCCCAGGTCCCCATACCCTCCCCCGTTGCAACTGGGGAAGTGCTGGGACAGTTGGATTGCAGTACTGGCCCCTGAAAGGGAGGAGCATAGAGCATAATACAGCCAGAGGGCTGTGTCATGAAGAAGATGCCGCTATCCTTGGAGTGACGTGGGTCTGGGAGCAGAAGTGATGGTGGACATGGCACCACCGGTAGTGGGCATACCGACCTACGGAGCTAATCCCAAGATGGACAGCAGGAGTCATCAGCATGGTGAGTGGAGCCCTGTCACACTCCCCATTTTCCCATACAGAATTTTCTTTATTTCTCATAAGTTTGAAAAACTTAGAAAAGAGGAGCGAGGTGCTTTGGCTAGATTGAACGCCAAGTTAGAGAAGATTTCTGTTTACAAAAGTTAACATAATTGCAGTATTAGCTAGGAAGTTTTTCACAGTTGTTGTGTAACCCAGGGTGATGGTTTTCAAACTGTATCTTAAGAGTTAGCAGACAGTATGATGATGGGGGCTGTACAAGTATCTAAATGGAACACTGAAAGAAAGTGGGGTATGGGTCACTCATTATAACAGCTATTTTCCACTAACTGGTAATTATTTATTGTCTCCACCAATTCTTATTTTTAGGATTATGCTTTGAGCTGTGTAAACTGTTTTAGCAATTAAAATTGTTACCTGAGTATAATGACCACATGTTTTAGTACACTTGTTAGTCTGAAGATTGTAGTGCTGGACTTCATCGGTCCATAATTTGATGGCTTCAGGGACACCAAATAACCCGTAATGTCCAGTCCAGATATTTTCTCCAACATGCCCATAATGAGGATGGGACATAAATTTTTCCGTTAAATATGGACTATGTTTAAAAAGGCATTTTTTTGCCCATGCCCTGGCAGTCCGTGCTAAAGCTGCATCCCAAGTCTGCAAAACAGTAAAGTTGAAGAAGCTATGCATAGAGTTAAGGCATTTGTATCCATCAGACAAATTAAAGTAGAAAATGAATAGCTATATATTGAATTTGACTAAAATTGTCTGTAAATTCTGTAAAACTATACAATTCAAATATTTTGTTCCCCTTCTGTCATCCAGTCAAGCACTCCAAAATCCTGTCTTTAAACTTGAGGATAGCTGTATAGAAATGTAAACTGACTTACTCATCGGCAGCCCAGCCCCGTTCATTCCCCTGCGGGACCCGAGTGGGACGGGGGGGCTGGGGCCTGCTGCCCCCACTCCGGCGACGCCGCGGGATAGCACCAGCTGGGCAGCAGCCCAGACGCGACTGGCCAGGGGCTGGGCGCAGCGTGCGCACTGCTGGGTCCCTGCAGCAGGCCCGGGCTCGGGGGGTTCGGGGGCGCCAGAGTCGCAGCTGCCGAGCTTGGCCATTGGCCGCTTCCTCCCCCCGTGGCAGTGGGAGCTGCAGCAGTGGGGCTGGGGGGGGGGGCACGAGCACTTCCGGGCTTCGGAGTATTTGCTTGTTTGTCCAGTGTCCCGACCGCACATCGGTCGGGACGCAGGACAAACAAGGAAATATCGGGACAGTCCCGATAAAATCGGGATGTCTGGTCACCCTACCTGTGAGCCTGAGCTGGCTGGCACGGGCCAGCCACAAGTGTCAGTTGCTAAGTAGACATATCCAGAGTGTGTCAGCTAAATACAAAGAAGAACAGATTGTTGTAAGAGACCATTCAAAGTGAAGTGGGCAGTTAACACTTCTGCAGATGTAGAACAAAAGACAGTTGTTGTGTTATAGAATGAATCACCTTCTATGACTCATTGCAACATTTTCTTTTTTTATCTTGTGTTGCTGTAGAAACCTTAGGTCTGGTCTATATGCAGCTTATGTTGACCTAGTTGTGCATGTCTCTACACTTAAATTTAGCTCCCACCAACAGAAGAGCGCCATTACGCCGACCAGTAGCGTAGCTAGTGGGGTGCAGGGGAAGCAGCCGCTTCCCCCGCCTTTCCGAAAGCGGCCGGAGGAGCGGGGGGGAAGCGCGGCATGCGGCCTGCAGCATGGCCCGGCAGTGGCGGCCGGAGGAGCGAGGGGGGGCGCAGGCTGGCGGCCCGCAGCGTGGCCGGCAGCCATGGGGGGGCAGCAGGCACGGCCGGAGGAGCGGGGCGGGCACGGCCAGAGGAGCGGGGGGCGCGCGGCCGGAGGAGCAAGGGGGAGGCCCACGGAGGTGGCACAGCAGGGCCGGAGGAGCCATGGGGGGGAGCGGCGGGGCGGCCGGAGGAGGAGCCAAGGGGGGGAGCCTTTTTTATATTTGCTCCCCCTCGTCTTAGAAGCTGGCTACGCCACTGACGCCGACTTAATAATGCCACGTTCCCAAGTGATATAGAGCCATGTACTTAGGTCAATGCAGTGTAAGTGTAGATACTGCATTACTTAAGTCGACCATTAGTGTCCTCCAGCAGCTGTTCCACAATGCCCAGTGCTGACTGCTCTGGTCACCACTGTGAACTCCACTGCCAAAGGTCACAGAGACTGGAAGCTCCCTCCCCCCCTTTAAAGCCCTGTTAATTTTTGAAATTCCTTTTCCTGATTGCCTGGCTTGGTGAGCACACCTAGCAGCTCTCCACTGTTGAATTCAACTGCCCAGCTGACCATGCCAGCTACATGCTCCAGATGCACAGACAGGAGGTATTGGATCTCCAGCCATAGAATGGTAGATATCTATGAGCATATTGCTTGGGGATTCAGGACAGGGGCTACAACAGGGACCAGCAATGCTGCATGAAAGCCAAGGAACTTTGGTAGGCATACCAGAAGGCTAGGGAGGCCAACAATCAGACTGCAAACCTGCCTGCTTTTACAAAGAGATGCATGCCCTACTTGGCAGAGACCCCACCACCGCCCCAACAGCACTGATACCTCCAAAGAGCCCGAGTCACAGGCCCCTGCCGTGAACAGGAAGGAGGAGGTGTATGGAAGACAGGCAACCAGGGGAACCAGATGCAGTGAGCCAGGATCTGTTTTTGACTCCCCTGCAGTCCAGCCAGTCCCACCAGGCAAGCATGGGTGGGTCCAATGCAGGGGAAGGAACCTTCTGTAAGTGTGTGTAAACCCCCACCCCTTTCTTCCCTGGGTTACTTGGTAACAGGCAACACTCACCTGTGTGCCTGGGCGCCTGATGTTGTTGACATTAAAAGAGATCCTGAGTATCCCAGTGGTGGCAAGTTGCACAGTGAGATACCTACCCATGATGCACCACACTCTACATCAACACTAGCACTCCTGGTGAGTATGCACACGGCCGACAGAAGGAGCCAAGTATGCATACGCATAAGCAATGTACTAAGTGCAGCATGAGTGTAGACATGGCCTTAGTTTTCAAGATCACTTAATAATCACTGCATAAAATTTTAAAAATGCATTTTTATCTTTAAGTAAGAAGTGACTGAAATCGTTTACATTACTTTACATACATAACTGGTGTTTTTTTTTTTTTTGGTTGTTTTTTTTGTCAAATAGTTTATTTGGGAGTTTTAGTGTTTACATATCAATCAAGCAAATGTCAAATTGTATAAATACCATAGTTTCAGTTCTGTGTGTATTACTTCTTAAAAAACACATTTTCTGAAACAGAGCCTATGGAAACAGGTAAATACACATAAAATCGTCCAGCCAGTGGCACATTATCACATGGGCCAACGGGCCCTGTGCCCGGGGGCCCCGGCCAATTTGGGGGCCCTGCAGGAGCACCAGAACCAGGCCCTTGCTCCTCCTCTCTAACTGGTGCCCCACTGCCCTGTTCCTCTTCTTCCCCCTGAAACTTCACCCTGTGGCCAGGCTGGAAGATGGAGCCTGTGGTAGGGTAAGCATATTCGCCCCTTGTGTGGAGCCGCTCACCCAAGCCCTGCGCAGAGCTGGCCGAGGGGCTGCCCTTCCCCCACGTGATGTAGAGCTGTCCTGAGGGGCCCCGCCATGTGGCACACAGCTGACCTGAGGCAGCTGCCATTTCCCCATGCGGCATGGCGCTAGCCCAAACCCCTTTCCCCTGCCCCTATGTGGAGCTGGCCTGAGCCACCCGCCCAAGCCACCCTCCTCCCTTGCACAGGGCTGGCCCAAGCCTCTTTTTGGCAAAACTGGGCATTTGTCCCGTTTGCTTTTGCCAACTGATTACCGCTTTTGCCAAAGAAGTTGGGACATCTGGGGCCAAAACGGGATGTATGGTCACCCCAGGCCAGGGGTCCCCTAACTTTTTTGCTTGTGCCCCCTCTTACCAGTCCACACCCTGCCCCTAGGATCCGGGGGCCATGGTCAGGGCCAGGAGTGGGGCCACGCCTGGGAGTTGGTCTGGGGAGGAGCAGGGGCGGAGCAGGGTGGGGGCTTTGGGGAAGGGGCGGAGTGGGGGCGGGGCTGGGGCACAGCAGGGGTTGGAAGAGGCAGAGCTGGGGCTGGGGCAATGAGAAAGAGGCGGGGCAGGGGCTGGAGCAGCACACCGCTGCGCAGAGCACCAGGAAATTTGGTGCCTCTAATTTCCTGGTGCCCTATGCAGCTGCGTACTTTGCATATGGGTAGGGACGGCCCTGCTTACAGGGAACTTAGCCCGTTTTCCATGAGTTTTTAAAGATCCCAAGCCATTAGCAGTTATATCTACTCAGTCAGCTCCTTCAGTATTCTAGGATGTATTTCATCAAGCCCTGCTGACTAGACATCTAACTTGTCTAAATAATCTTAATCTTTAACTTGTTCTTTCCCTATTTTAGCCTGAGATGCTACCTCGTTTTCACTGGCGTTCACTATGTTAGACATCCAATCATTACTAAATTTTTTGCTTAAATCTGACATTTCCACATTTTTTGTTATTGTCTTTCCCCCCTCACAGAACACAGGTCCTACCCTGTCCTTGGTCTTCTGATTGAATGTATTTGTAGAATGTTTTCTAGCTAGTTTAATCTTGTTTTGTGCTTTGGCCTTTCTAATTTTGTCCCTACATGCTTGTGTTGTTTGTTTACATTCATCATTTGTCATTTGACCTAGTGTTAACTGGCCACTTCACTTTGAATAGTCCCTTGAAATTTGTGTTAACTACTTATGCTAAATAATCTGTTCCACCTTGTATTTACCTGTGATGCTGGGAGTACCTTTCCCAGACCTGAAGAAGAAGCTCTGTGTAAGCTCCCCGAGAAAGCTTGTCTCTCTCACCAGAAGTTGGTCCAATAAAAGATATTATCTCACCCACCTTGTCTCTCTAATATGCTGGGAGCAACATGGCTACAGTAACAATGCACACTTTGATCCCTAAACATTTGTCACCAGTCAAGGGGTGTGTGGGTGTGTGGGTGTGTGTGTGGCACCTCCCAGTCCCAGGGGTAGCTTGAATTTCCCTCTTTTAAGATCTCTTATCAAGTTTCCTTGGCTGCCATTAAATAAGATATTTAAATAATTAAATATAACTATAAATTAATCACTCCCTCACACTCAACCCTGATGAATGCAATGTGTAGGACTGATCCTGAGGTGAGGCTGCAGCTTCCACTGCAGTAAAGGAGAATTGCAACGGCCTGGCCCCTTTTCCATATCCCCTTCCAAACAAGAAAGGTCCTTTGTACACTGCAAATCCACCAGGGCTGGGGGGAACCCAGTTAGAACCGGGTAGCCCCTGGTACGGCGTGGTTTACTCTTGCAGTGAGAGGGTTGAATAGTGTTCCTGAACTGGGCAGCAACTCTTCAAAGCTCAAGGCTGAAGCTTTATGTAGTGGAAAGGTTAAAACACGCTTTGGTCCTGTCCACAGCATCAGTTGATCTGTATTTAATGGTAGGGTAAATGGCTCCCCGCCTGCTGGATTTACATTGTAGCTGAGGCCTTTTTGTTAGGGTTACCATACGTCCGGATTTTCCCGGACATGTCCGGCTTTTTGGGACTCAAATCCCCGTCCGGGGGGAAATCCCAAAAAGTCGAACATGTCCGGGAAAATCCGGCGCCGCTGGGCCGGGGGCCGGCGGTGCTGGGGGGCCGGGGGTGCTGGGGGGCCGGTGCGCCGGCGGTGCTGGGGGGCCGGTGCGCCGGC